TGTCCCTCTCGCCCTCGCGGAGGTCCTGGAGGCGGCAGACGTGGCGGCGGGGCAGCAGCAGGGTTTGGTAGGGCCAGGTGGCCCAGTATGGCACCACAACCAACCAGTCCGTGTTCTCCACCACCAGCCGCTCCTGTGGGATACAGTGCTCGATGAGGACACCTGCAGCCCTGACACCCTGGGGATGGGCACCCCCCAAAAGCCCTGCTCTTGGGGGCTAGGGGTTCCACCCCAGCACACATCCAGCTTCCAGGGAGAGGATGACTCCATATCCTCACCTTCCGGAGAGCCTCCTGCTCAGCGTACTCCAGCAGCATGGGAACGCCATGCTGACTCAGGTGCTGCCGCTGGGTCCGGTCCTCCAGGCACGCCTCGTTTGGGAGGAAGCTGCTGGCCCACACCTGGGAGGAACATTGGGAAACAGGGCTGGGTTACCTGTCCCCCGCATTTGCAGGGGTGCCCCAGCCATGCTGCCTATCTGCAGGTCCGTGCTGCCACCAGGTGGAGAGTCCAACATGTGGCAGCCATAAGGGACAGTCCCCCAGAGAGGACGTGACAGAACAGGCATGAGGGGATCCTCTCTGCAGAAAGTTTTGGGAGCAGGGCGCGGGGACTCCCATTCACATGTTCCACCTGGGCTTGTTGTAGGGTTTCCCATAGGGACTCATGGTTAAGGTGGGACAGCCTCACCTGGCAGTGTGGGTGCGGGTTGGAGCAGCCCATCATGGCTCCCTTGTTCTCGAAGATCTGCAGAGGAAGAGGTGCAGGCAGAGGGTCCCAGCCCCAGGGTCCCCACTGCAGGCTGCTGTGGTGTCCCTGGCACACCAGGAAAGCATCCCACAGGAAAGCAGAACCTTGCACCCACCTGGAAAGGCTCAGGGGGGCACGAGGTAGGGATGGGGGACCCACATATGGTCAAGAAGGTCCCAATCCTGGGTGCTGCCAGAACACCCAGCCACAGCCCCTCTCCTCCACCCAAGCCCCCCAGGGCAGGGAGAGAAGGGCAGCCCCCCGGACCTGCACCCAGGGGTAGGAGCCGCCCAGCTCAGCCGACAGCTCTGCCCACGCATCGATGACAGCCCGGATCTCTGCCAGGGACATTAGGGGCAGCGTCAGGTCCGACCAGGGGTGGAAGCACATCACCTTGCTGTGAAGGAGACACATGTGGC